ACATGAAAAAATGCTCAACATCACTCGGCATCGGGGAAATACAAATCAAAACCACAGTGCAATACCACCTCACACCAGTCAGAATGGCTAAAATTAACAAGTCAGGAAACGACAGATGTTGGCGAGGATGTGGAGAAAGGGGAACCCTCCTACACTGTTGGTGGGAATGCAAGCTGGTGCAGCCACTCTGGAAACAGTATGGAGGTTCCTCAAAAAGTTGAAAATAGAGCTGCCATATGATCCAGCAATTGCTCTACTGGGTATTTACCCCAAAGATACAAATGTAGTGATCTGAAGGGGCACCTGCACCCTAATGTTTATAGCAGCAATGTCCACAATAGCCAAATTGTAGAAAGAGTCCAGATGTCCATCGACAGATGAACAGATAAAGAAAATGTGATCTATATATAGTGTGTGTATATATACATACACATATATATATACATATACACACTATCTATCTATCTATCTACCTATCTATCTATATGTATATGTATACACACACACAATGGAATATTATGCAGCCATCAAAAAATGAAATCTTGCCATTTGCAATGATGTGGATGGAACTAGAGGGTATTATGCTATGCCAAATAAGTCAGTCAAGAATGACAATTATCATATGATCTCACTGATATGTGGAATTTAAGAAACAAAACAGAGGATCATAGGGGAAGAAAGGAAAAAATAAAACAAAATGAAACCAGAGAGGGAGACAAACCATAAGAGACTCTTAACCATAGGAAACAAAACAATAAAACAAATAAAATACTAGAAATATTATATTAGAAAATACTTTGTATTAATATTCATAAGCAATTCATTAAGTTTATAGTCTCTTTTTTTGTGTGCTGCTTTCTAAAAAATTGCCTAAGTATCCGTGTTATACCTGCTATATAAGAAAGAATTTGGAAGTTTTTCTTCACATTTTAAAAGGTTTGAAACAATTTATGGAGCTTTGGAGCTATCTAGCCTTTAAAGATTTGGTAAAACGTGGAGTACTTTGCAAGGAAATTCCTTGATAATTATCTCTATTTCTTCTATGGAAATTAATCTGTTTAAGTTTTCTATCTTTAATGGGTCATTTTGGTAAATTATATTTTCTAGGAAACTATCAATTTCATCCAAGAATGCAAATCTACTTGCATTGAAGTTTGCAACATAATTTCTATTGAATTTTTAAAATTTCTTGTTTCAATTATTTCTCCACCATCCTTTCTCATTTTGTGTTTGTGTGACTTGTGCCTTTTCTTCTTGATTCATCAGCTGGTAATTTATTACATTGATTTCTTTAGGAAACAAAATTGTTAATGTATTAATTAGATCTATTCTTTTTCTAATCTCTATCTCATTAATTTCTGCTTTTACCTTTATTCTCCTCCTTGTTTTCTTTTGGGCGTCTCTATTGCTCTTTTGCTAGATATTATGACCCAGGAATTTAACCCATTTTTGCTTTCTTTCATTTTTATTCATGTATGTGTTTGCTCTAAATGAACTGTGGATTCAACATTTTACGAACTGCAATGTTTTAGGAGAGTTTTTTGGGAATTTGTTAAGATGATTCAAAAATGTAAATGGAAGAGTAAAGGGCTAATGATAGCCTGGACACTTCCAAGTTAGAAGAGCAAGGGGGAGGCTTGCGCTCCCAGAGATGAGAACTAAACAATTAGGATGGTGTGGCACTGGCAGAGACAGAGAAATTGACCAATGGAAGAGAAGAAAAACCCCCGAGTCAGACTGCTATGTATGGAATGCTGTTGGATGACAGAGGTGGAACGTTGTAACATGGAGGAAAGGGGCAGGTGGTGGTTCAACAAACGGAACTGCAAAAGATGGTCATCTGTTTTAAAGGACAAAAGTGGAACCTGACTCATACTATATAAAAATCCAGATGAATCAAGAACTTATATATGAAAAACAAAACTTGAAATTCTTATTGGAAAATACAGAGGCGAAGAGGTTTCTCAAATCAGACCAAGCAATGTCTACTGAATAAAGACTTTATAAGCATGGCTATTTTAAAATTAAGAATGTTTGTTCATCAAATGACACCCGAAAAGACAAGCTAAATATTAGAAGATGAGAGTCACAATATATGCAACCAACCAAGAACTAGTAGCATAAGTGCATAGAAAATCTTCTTTAAATTCAGGCAAAACCCACAAAGGACACTGTAGAGAACTGGTAAAAGTTAATGAGCTTTTCACAGCAGAGGAAATGCCGACAAATAAAGACACGTTTACCATTAGTGATCAGGAAATGCAAGTCAGGACCACAACAAGATATTGCTTCACACCCTAGCAAAAAATAAGAAGTCTGAGCATACCAAGGGTCAGAGAGGGTGTGCATCTATGGGATCTCTCACATATTCCTGGTCAGAATGTAAACTGATGCTACCGTTTTGGAAAATAGTTTGGCGCTATTCCCAAGCTTGAGCCATTCACACACTCTTTGGCCCAGCTGTCCCTCTAGCTGTGCTGAGACTGTGGGAGGACCAAGAGGCATGGTGACAGAGGGACCAACAGAAAAGCTGGTGTCAAGTGAGTCAAAGGGGCTAGCTGTGGGGGTGGAAAGCAGCTTTCTAATGCAAGAGATATTTAAATCAACAAAAGACTAGAACAAGACCGTCACAGAAAATGAAATCCAAATGGCCAGTAAACATATTAAAATGTGCTCAACCTCAATTGGCGTTAGGAAAATCCTAGAAACACGATGAAGCCTCTGCACACTCACTGAAATGTTTAAAATGTCGAAGAGGGTGTGAAGCAAGCAGAACTCCCATGTTTGGCTGTGGGAGTGTAAATGTGTACAACTGCTTTGGAAAACTATATGGCTTTATACCAGGAGCCCCAGCATTCTATTCCCAGGCACACATTAGACAGAACTATACACCAATTTGCACCAAGACAGGGACAAAAACACCCACATTGTTGTACGATATATAGCAAAGTTATTAAGAGAGTAGATCCTAAGAGTTTTCATCACAAACAAATTATTTTCCTTTCTTTTTGTGTATCTTTATGAGATAATAGTTCATAGTTGATCCTATTGTGGCAATCATTTCATAATATAAATCAATCAAATCATCATGCTGTGTGATACGCGGCAAGTGTTTCTCAATAAAATGGGGTAAAAAGACTGTCCATAGCAGTACAATTCATAATAGCCAGAAACACATGACAACTTGAATGCCTTGCAGCAGTAAAATGGATAAATTATGGATACTCACACCGTAAATCCTATATGGCCATGAGAACAAATGTACTACAAATACAATTTAGATGGATGTGGGAAACAAAGGGAAAAAAAACCAACCAAAAACAAACAAACAAACAAACAAAAAAACCATGGGGCGCCTGGGTGGCTCAGTTGGTTAAGTGTCTGCCTTAGGCTCAGGTCATGATCCCAGGGCCCTGGGATTAAGCCCCACGTTGGGCTCTCTGCTCAGCAGGGAGCCTGCTTCTCCCTCTCCCTCTACCTACGGCTCCCCCCGCTTGTGCTCTCTCTCTCTCTGTCAAATAAATAAAATCTTTCTTAAAAAAAAAAAAAAAAAAAAAAAATAAGTATAATCTTGAGCCAAAAAAGCCAGTCCCCAAAGAGTATATCCTGTAAGATTCACTTTTCATGAAGTTCAAAAGCAGAGGTAAGGGTGGTGGTAGCCTACAGGGAGGAGGAGAGTGGCTGGTGAGGGCATGGGGTGCTGGTCATTTTCTATTTGTTGATCAGAGTGGTAGTTCCATGAGTGTGTTCACTTTGTGAAGGTGCATTACTCTGTACACTTAGGATTTGTGCATTTTACTGTATTTTGAATACACTTCAATTCAAAGTGTATATGTAAAAGGAGAGATTTAGGAGAATCGACCAATAGATGTGGATAGAGGGGGACAGAAAGAGTCCAGAGTTACTCTATGGCTTCGGCCTGAGGAACCAAGTTCATGGAGTTACCCTTCACTGAGATGGCAAAGAGTAGAGGAAAGGTTGGCATGGGCAGGTGAGGGGAAATCAAGTTTGGTCTTAGACATTCTATGAGGGAGGTGCCCAGCAGGCTTTCGAGTAAAGATGTCAAGTAGCCACCTAAATATTCAAGCCTGGAGCCCCAGGGGGATGTCAGAGCTGGAGACGGAGATTTGAAAATCTCCTTGTGTAGGTAGACTACAAGGCTGTGAGTGTGGATGAGATCTCTGAGGGAGGGCACAGGAAGAGAAAAGAGAAGGCCCCAGGACTGAGGCGGCAGGTGGGTGCTCAAACATTCAATCTGGCAAAGGATAAGAGCCACAAAGGAGACCAAGAAGCTGCCAGGGAGATAGGAAGGAAACCAGGAGAGCATGCCATCCATCGGCCAGGTGGTTTCAAGGAGAGGGGGAGTGATTAACCGTGCTGATAGGGTAAGACGAGCTCTGAGAATCGATCCTGGATTTAGCAACACGAACGGAGGTCATGGGTGAACTGGCCAAGGGTAGTTCCATGGACAAGTGGCATCTGAAGCATGGAGTAGGGGAGGACAGAAAGGAAGGTAAGGGCATGGCATGCAGACAGCTTTTCCAAGAGTGCTGCCATGCCAAGCTGAGAAATGGGGCAGGAGGTGGGGGAGATGGTGGGGCCCAGGAATTTTTAGGTGAGAGCTATTATCGCACATTTGTGGAGCGGGGAGCAGTCCACATGATAGGAGAGAGAGGAGATAATTACTGGAGCCAGGTTATTGGACAGATGAAGACAGGATTGCTTTTTTCTACTTGGGGCTTCACCTTCAAAGTGAAAGGCCAGATTCTAGCAGAGAAAGGTCATTGCAGATAAGGCATTGCCTGAGGAGGCAACTGCCTTGGACAAGGCTTATACGCTTCCTTTCGTTCCTCCTTCCTCCTAGGCCCAGGGCAGGTGGATTCAAAGGTTTTTCCTAGGAACGTGTCCCTGCCACTGTAGGGGCAGAGGCCTTGAGGCTGGGTGGGGCTGGGTGGGGCACGCTCCTCCCCCCATCCCCTACAAACGCTTATGCAACCTCCAATAGCAACAAAAATCAGTTGGTGTCTCAGACCGCAGCAGTGCACAGAGAAGCCTCTGGAGCCGTCACAGGAGCCAGCATGGTGAAGTTTGCACCGCTGTTCCTGCCATGGGAGCGCAGGCTACAGACCTTCATGGTCCTGCAGTGGGTCTTCTCCTTCTTGGTCCTGGGTAAGGCGAGCTGGGCTGGGGGTTGGGAGACCATGGGCACCTGCCACTCCAGGTGCACACAGTGTTTTGATGGTGGAAAGACATTCGTCCTAAAGGGGGCTTTGCTGCACTCAGAGTCCCTGCCCATAGAGTCCGGTGCCCGGAGTCCTCTGGAGGGTATGGAAGGGCATGGGGACAGGGTGTGGTAGAAGCCGCTGCCTGTGGCTTTGGACAGGTTACTGAGCTTTCCACCTTAGTACTAGGACGGAGACCCTGCCTCAGGCTACCTGGTGGTGGTGTGGGGAAGGATCTGAGTGATTGTGGGAAAGTTCCAGGCCCTGTAGGGCTTCTCAGAGGGAATGGATTTCCTTCCTTCCTTTCAAAGAGGAGGACACAGACTGGTGGGTAGGGAAAGAGAAGGGAACAGGGAAAGAATAGGAGTGCAAGAGAAAGTAGAGACTGCCAGGGGATTGGAGCGAGACCTCTGCAGGTCTCTAATTCATCAGCTGTGGAGTGGGACTATCACTGCTGAGCTGGCACAGAGCTTCCGCGGGATGAAGTGGAGAATGTGCTTGCTTTGCCTGGCCCAGATTAGGCCAGACCCCTGGGCTGGGGGCCCATGGGAAGTATGCTTAGCTCCCCCTCCCCACCCCACCCCCGCCAGGAGCACGTTGATGGTGACCAGGGAGACTGCCCTTGCCCAAACTCCACTCTGCTGAAGGGAACCCTTTGGAGGAGGGCCCGGGGCCGAGCAGGGGAAGAGAATGACTGGGGGTGTGTGGGATTCTTCACCTCCTCTGCCAGCACCAGAGAGGGTAGCCTCTGCTTCCCCCGGGACTGGCGTTCGGCCTGTGCACAGATGCCACTATCCTGGTGTTACACTATGGGTATGCTCTGTACCAGTTGGTCAACAGCACCCCCCCATACACACACACACACACACACACACACACACACACACACACACACACCCTCATGTGCTCCCTCAGAACCACCTCCCAGTTCTGCAGCTGAAGTCACCCCCAGCAAAGCAGGCCTCTAGCACCTTTATGAATCCCTTATGATTCATCTGTGTCTCTGTCCCAGGGGTTGTTAAACATTCTAAATATCCCTGGTTATCCCCATTACACAGATGGGCAGAAACACTAAGTGCCTTAACTGCCCCAAGGTTGTAGGTCCAGAGTCTTGGGCCCCTTCTACAGCCAAAGGAAGAAAGGGAAGGAGGGCAGAGAGGAGAGGGCGGACAGTGTGGGAGGAGGTGGGGCTGAGGGGCTACTGGGCGGATGGAGACAGCCTGGGGAAGGAGGCCTAGCCCTGGGCAGGCTGCAAGTCCGCTGGCTCCTGGACAAAGGTCGCCCGGGGCCTTAGAGGTAGGCTGTGGCCTCGGGATCACAGGGGATAAGGTTCGTCAGGTGCAGCATGCCTTGTGTGAGCTTTGCAAGCTGAGTGTGTTTGACTGGCCTTGCCGCTGCACCCCACCCTGCCTCAGTAGGCCCGGGGCAGAGGAGCCTGGGAATATCAAGCGCAGCCCAGAGAGGTCAGGTAGCCCTGGGCCTGGACGACTAGAAGAAGGGCAGCTGGGAAAAGGGATCTGGGCCCCCTGGGGCCTGGAGTAGGAGGTTTTTATAGTATCCCTTATCCTGGGGACAAAGGGGAGCCTCAGGAGGGCTTTAGGTAGGGGAGTGACAAGGTCCAATCTGTATGCGGAAGTTCCCTGTGGCTGCAGTGGAGGTATCTACTGTGTTTGGCGTGGGGGACGGGGGGGAATGGGCTGTTGGCAGGGAGCCGTACAATCTACATCAGGGGGCACCACACTATGGCACATGGGCTGAATCCAGCCCACTGAATGTTTCTGTATTTGTACAGTTTATGAGCTAAGAAGGATTTTCACATTTTCAAGGGGTTGTATTTTAAATGGTTAGGGACCTATGTAATATCATCCAAGTTGCCTCTTGAGCCGCGAAGTCTAAAATATTGACAGTCTGGCCCTTTAAGGAAAAAGATTGCCAGCCCTGGTCTAGGGAGGCTGGCAGTGGGTGGGGAGAAGTGGCCCCATTCAGGAGCTGTTTAGGAGATGGGGGCCACGGGGCAGGATTGAAAGGCTGGTCAGAGAGTGAGGGCTTCCAGTGGAAGAGCAAATACTACGTGCATTTCCTGAACAGCTCGTTCATACTGGAGTCAGAAGAGGCATTGCAGGGAGTGGTAGAGGCCAGAGAAGTGACTGGAGAGGTCACCTAGGACCCGTCACTAAGGACTCAGGGCCAACAGCCAAATACTTCCCAAGTGGGTAATTTATTTACTATTTCCTCTCCTCTATAACTCACCCTGGAAGGTGAGCACCATTCAAATAGTTTGTCTTGTCCTTAACTGCATCTCCTGCTCCTACAAGAATGGGAGTCCATGAATGTTTGTTGAGTGAATAAATGGGAGCAAGATGTAGCCAAAATGGTAGATTTGGATCTTAGGTCCCATCCTACCAGCTTGCTGTGTGACCTTAGCCAATTAGCATACCCTCTCTGGACCTTTGTAAAGTGGGGTTTAAAATATTTCCCCTCCTCTCAGAGTTGTGAGGATTAAGTGAGAGAAAGTGTTTCCCTTTCTAAGTGATTCCATAGCCTTCAGTTTTGCCTGCTGGGAGGAGTTGAAGGGTAAGCTAAGGGTGAAGGATGATTGGTATGGGGAAGGCCTTTCTGTCTGGTCAAGTGCAAATGCCTTGTGTGTCAAGTGCAAATGCCAATCTCTTTTTCTGACTGCAGAACTAATACGTGCCATGGTAAAACATTCAAACGTGATGAATGTCCTAAAAGCAAGACTTCCCCGAATCCTACCCTCCAGGTAGCCACGATCAACCATTTGTGTCTATTCTCTGGAGCTGGTTTTCTTAAGGTGGGAACCACTCACACAGACTTCTGATTTTGCCCAAGGGGAGAGAGGCCTAGCCGGGGGTCTTTAATTTTTTCCCCCCACCCTAAACATTTTTAATATGGAAAAAGGAATAAATTAAACTTACTCAAGCTCCCTGCCATTCTTGTCCCCCACATCCTGTCTCCTTCTTCCAGAGCCGGGGGCTCCTTTTCTGCTCTATGCGTGTGCCGCTGTATATGTACGTGCCAGGGTTTGTTTGTTTTTTTAATTTTTTTTTAAAGATTTTATTTATTTATTTGAGAGAGAGAGAATGAGAGACAGAGAGCATGAGAGGGAAGAGGGTCAGAGGGAGAAGCAGACCCCCCCGCTGAGCAGGGAGCCCGATGTGGGACTCGATCCCGGGACTCCAGGATCATGACCTGAGCCGGAGGCAGTCGCTCAACCAACTGAGCCACCCAGGTGCCCCAGGGTTATTTTTCATACAAACGGTGGCATTTTGGTCCCGCCCTTCTGTGGCTTTCTCTTGCAAAATCTTTATGAAAAAATCTTTAAGACAAACAAAAAGTTAACCAACCCCCCAACGGCGAATGGTCCTTTCCACCATGCTCAGGAAACTGCAAGGCCTCTGAGCATAAAGCACAGGTTGCTCAAGACTGGCCATCAGGTCTGGGAATGGGAGGAAATGCTGGAGGGAAGGGCTGCCTGGGAGAGCAGTGACTCGTGACTCGGGGCTACCATGTCTTCTAGTTTTTCAAGAGAAATCAGATGTCGGGGTTTGTATTGTGAAGCCTCCCCATTTTACATTATTAGTGACTAATTCAATCGTATTTGAAAATTTAAAGTGCAAAGGATGGACCGAGTGGCCGTTGGTGCATCGACAGATGAGCGGATAGACAACATGCGGTCGGTACATGAGAAAGAATAGTAGTTAGCCTCAAAAGGGAAGGAAATTCTGACACACGCTACAGCATGGATGGCATGAGTAGACCATCAGGGCATCATACTAAGTGGCGCAAACCAGTCACCAAAAGATCAATACTTCATGACTCTTCTTATACATGAGGTTCCTAGAATAGTCACATTTGTAGAGACAGAAAAGCCAATGGCGACCGGCAGGGGCTGGGGGAGGGGCCCGGGGAGTCAGAGATTCAGTTTGAGAGATTCAGTGTCAGAGATTGGCGGGCCCGGAGACGGTGGTAGTGATGGCTACACGACAATGGGAATGGACTTACTGCCGCTGAACTCTATGCTTAAAGACGGTTAAGGTGATATATTTTATGTTACGCGTCTCTCATCACAGTAACAATTTAAAAAACAAAGCGCCCTGATTGTGACCCTGGAACATCACTTTCCGAGGGCAGGACTTCGTGTCTGTTGTTCACGGCTGCCCCCCTGCACCTGGCCCGTGAGAGATGCTCTGTGTAAAGTGAACATCCGTGAGCCCCAGCCTACATCGTCCGGCTTATGAATTCTACCACTGTTCAGACTGGGTCAAAAGGCCCCTCCTCCAGGTGCCAGGAATGGCAGGCCCAATCTCCCCTACTTTCAAATAGAATATACAACTGGAAGTTGGCCTTCTTTAAGAGGATGAGTGCCTGGTGTTGAGTAGAGGAAATGGGTGGGGAAGGAGCCACATTCTCTGGGAATATTCTTTCCGTCAGCATCAGATTAGCGATGGCCCACGGACCAGCTGACCCTGAGATGAAGCTGGGATTAGCCTATGGCAAGGGGTTCAGAGCTGCGGGTCAGAGAGGGAGTTCCTCACGGGGCCTAGTCCTAGCCCTGCTACAGCCCTGAGCCACGGACCAGCCAAGGGTTGGCCTCTTTCTCCCTCCCTCCTTCACCGGGACAGGGCACTGCGGGAAGGAGGAATCAGCACGAGCCAAAGCTAAGGGACTGAAGGAGCTCAATGAGCTGTAAGAACACAGCAGTTTAGTGTGGCCAGAGCGCTGGGGGTGCAGGTGGGCGAGGAGGCGGGGAGGGCCGGCTCCTCCCGAAGTTACGGGAAAGCCGGGGAAGGCCTTTGAAGAGAGGCAGATCTGGCCAGGTGTATCTGTGGAAAGATGGGGCAGAGAGTGGGCAGAAAGAGTGTTTCCGTTCTCTCTGAGGTCCCCAAAAGATGGAAACTAGAAACCAGGAATCCAGTCGGTTGTCCAGCAGGCATTTTTGGAGCACCTGGTGAATGCAGACCACTTGACTGGGGAGAGGGAGGTAGTGCGGGGGAAGACCAGCATGAACAAGGGAGCCAGGACAGCGGGAACAATGAGTTTTGAAGTTGGGCCTACCTAGGTTCGAATCTGTGCTCCCAGCGAGACATTGGCGGGCTGGCAGGTGCCTTCCCTCCTTGAAGGCGTGGGAAGCTGAGCTCTCCCTCCCGGGGCCACGGGCTGGACGGGACCATGCTGCTAGCGCTGGGCATATGGGACACTCAGTGTGCACCATCTCACCTCCTTCCTCTCAGACCTCTGATGGTTCCTGCTTCCCTCCCCAGCCCAGATCTGCACTGTGGTCTTCATAGGCCTCCTGTTCACAAGATTCTGGTTGGTCAGTGTCCTGTACGCGATCTGGTGGTACCTGGACCTAGACAAGCCACGGCAGGGGGGCAGGCCCATCCAAGCCCTAAAGCGCTGCTTCTTGTGGAAGTACATGAGGGACTATTTCCCTGTCTCGGTGAGTACTGGGGCTGGCTGGGATGTGTCCATCTTCATGGCGGGAGCACGGCCCAGGGTGCAGGGAGCAGAATGCTGGGAGGGAGGGGCCAGGGCTTACACCACTATATGGTCTGGGGAGGAGTCCAGCTTCTCTCTGGCTGTGGTTTCCCAGGGTTGGGAAATGTCAGGGTTTGAAGGTCTCTGTGGGCATATAGTGTGGCACACATATGTATCTTACAGGTGTAAACCCCTCAGCAGCCAGGTAGGGGGTGAATATAATAAACTCAAGGTCCTAAGAGACCCATCAAGCCCCACACTTCATCAGACGGGGAGAATGACACTCTGAGAGGGACAAAGGTGTGACCAACTCCACAGGACAAGTTCTCCTGCTTTTAAAGTGTGTGCATTAACTAGGGGGGAAGGAGCAGGGGAGAGAGCCCTGAACTGGTTCTCAGTTCTAACCCGCCCCCAACTCCAGATTGCTGGGTGTCCTTGAGCAAAACCTTGCCCCATTCGAAGCCTCAGTTTCCCCATGTATCCAGGAAGCAGACTGATCCCTCCACCTCTGAGCACGTTTGAATCTCTCACTCTGACTCAGGGCATCTCATGCCATCGTGGATACTTGACCCTGGACTCAAATGTCAGTCCTGAGTAAAGCGGACCCTCGGATTTGAGTGAACAGACCCTCCTGTTGGCTCCTTTACCAAATCCCAGACAGACTGAACCCCGGGACTTGAGCGGCCAGGCAGGGCTGGCTTATTGGCCGGATGGGCCACGGTGGGAAGGCAGTGGGGAACACGGAGAGGTGCCAGGCGGGGGCAGCTGACCGGACCCTGGAAACGGGGGAGAAGAAAGGCAGAAACTGTGGCCTCTGGAGCAGGACAGACTAGGTTCTAATATCAGCGCCGCCACAGCCCATGGTGACCCTGGGAGAGTTTCATAGCCTCTGTCAGCCTCAGTGTCCTCATCTGTAACGTGGAGATGACACAACACACGTCACTGAGTTGGGCAGATTCGCTGAGCTGGCAGGAACGTCCTACTGGCTGGCAGGACATTCGGTGCTAGTATTATGTGACCGAGTCAGTGGGGAGCGTGGAGAGGCGCGCACGTGGCTGTGGTCGGGGGACGGCTCTGACCTTCACACCTGCCGGGCTTCTCCTGCCCGGTCCTGGTGCTCCGCCTCTTCCCGCCCCCCCTTGGCGTTAGGTCCCCAGCTGGTGAAGGGGGAGGGAGTGGAGGACACAGGCTCACAGAGGTTAAACAGCCCACTGACTCGTGGGCACTCAGCAGCGGACTCAGGGCTCCTTCTTTGCTCCCTTCTGAGAGTCCTGGGGCCCGGCGAGGACTAGCAAAAGCTGGGCAAGAACTGGGGTACGAAGCCCCGAGCACCACAGTGAGCAGGGCCTCCTGGGCAAAGGGCAAGGGTGGGACGGGGCAGGGCAGGGCAGGGCAGTAGGGCATCAGGGCAGGGGCTGGGCAGAGGGCAGGAAGTTGACTGGCAGAGAATTCCACGCTCACGAGGGGTGATAGGTGTTGAAGGGCAGAGCGAATGAGCAGCACTGAGCTAACCTGGGAGTCCAGGTTGGGGGAGGTCTCCCCATATTTGCTTCTTCCAGGATCTTGTCAGCAAAGACAAGCAGGGTCTGTGCCTATCTTATCCACTGCCTTTCCTGGTCCTTCCCTAGCCAGCCAGCCCTCGAGGAGGGTTTCTCAACCTCGGCACTATTGACCCCGGTGGGACACTGCCCTGATCTGCCGCAATTCTGTGTGTAGTGTTTCAGGATGGATGCCCACTGTAGGCCTGTTGCATCACGACCTTGCGGAGGGTGGGCAGTACCACCATGTGGCCAGCAGAGGGCGAGATGGCATGCACTTGGACTTTGCCTGGCCTAGGCTGGGAGCCTGCAGGGCTGGGGCTGTGGCCGGCAGATTCCCTTCCCCTCCCCTCCCACTCTTTTTTTTTTTTTAATTTTATTTTATTATGTTATGTTAGTCACCATACATTACATCATTAGTTTTTGATGTAGTGTTCCATGATTCATTGTTTGCGTATAACACCCAGGGCTCCATGCAGTATGTGCCCTCTTTAATACCCATCACCAGGCTAACCCATCCCCCCACCCCTCTCCCCTCTAGAACCCTTTACACACCTGTACAGCCCAGGCCCTGCTGGGATCTTGGGAGGGGCGGAAGGTAGGTGACGCTCCCATGCACATTCACAGGCCTCTGCACTCCCCTGTCAAATGCGTGTAGATTTCTGAGCTCCTATCAGTTCTTAGTGTGATTTTATGGACTAGCATCTATGGATGGAATTCCAAGCAAAATTAGGAAACTTTCTGGGCCTTGCAGCTTTCTAAACTCACGCTGCAGGCTTCCTAAAGAGCTAATGATGAAGAATCTGGCGATGGGCGATGTTTCACATAGGAGGCACTGACCCCACCTCGTGCTGAAGACCGGCCCCAGAGCTGGGTTTCCCCTGTGAAGATTTCATCATCCTGGAGTAAACACTGTCTACACAGGCCAAGGCCTGACAAGGGATGGAGTGCTGCAGCCGGGCTGTGACCTGGTGTCAGGAAATGCTGCAGGCCCAGGGCGGCGCAGGACACCTCCCCACCCACACCTGGGCCCTGCCTCAGTGCCTCCTCAGCCCTGCGGACGTCACTAGGGACTTCAGGCCCTCCCTCCCCACCCCCACCCCCACGCCAGCATACTGGGGGCTCTTAACTGGAGTCAGAGGTAGGTGGGTAGCCAGCTGCCTGCCCCGGACAGATCTCCAGCTTACACTTGGACCCAGGAGTGATACTTCCCCCTGTGATGACTCCTTTCACCATGGGAGGACTCTGCCTGGGAGAGGGTCTTCCTTCACACCGAGCTGTGCCCGTCCTGACACCCCTCCCTCAGCCCTATGGCTGCCCTGAAGGGAGGGGGCTTCCTTCCTGTTCACTTCCTGTCTTCGCTGTCCCTCCTCGGCCGGCAGCTCTCAGGAGGCTTTCTGCACATCGACACATGGACATTTGGGGCTGAAGGATGGGTGTGTGGGGGGCAGGGGGTGCCTTCATCCCTGGACTCTGCCCACTAGTAGCACTCCCCTCTACGAGGAGTGACAACCAAAAACGTCTGCAGATGTGACCACATGTCCCCTGGTGGGATGAGGAACTGGCCCTGGTTGAGAACTGCTCTGGAGCCTGGGGTCTCTCCAAAACACCTCCCCCACTCACTACCTAAATCCTGACCAGTCGGCTCTTTATCTGGGCTCTGCTTCCGCCGACGCCCCCTGCAGTCCATCCTGCACACAGCAGCCAGAATACTCCTAAAATGTTAAAACAGCAGTGACTCCCGTGACACCTAAAATCAAATCTAATTCTTTTGTCCAGCCTGCAGGTGCCTGGACTCTGGACCCCTGTTTATGCCTCACCTGCCCCCTTTGCCATCCAAATTCTCCAAGTACTCCTGGGCTGGTACCCTTCTTGGAAGTACACCCCTTTGCCCCGTTAACCCCCACCACTTTTCACCTGGGGATTCCTACAAAGCAGCAGAGCCTATAGGAGCCGGGCCGCCTGTATTAAAGTCTTGCCTCTGCCACTTTACTAGCTATGTGACCTCGAACCCGTTAATTAACCTTGTGTCTCAGTTTCCTCATCTGTAAAATGGGGACATTGCCACCGGTACTTCCCTTGCAGAATGAACAGAAGATGGAGCAAGTCGGTGTACTGAGGTCCCTGGGCACAGGAGGTGCTGGGAATGTGCACCACCTGGGGCATTCTTTCCAGCTCTCCGTGCTCAGCACATCCTGTATTTCTTCAACTCTAAGACATCCCTTTTTTTTTTTTTTAAGTAGTCTCCACGCCCAAGCCCAACACAGCGCTTGAACTCATGACTGTGAGGTCAAGACCTGAGCTGATACCAAGAGTTGGGGGACTGAGCCACCCAGGCGCCCCTCTAAGATATCCTTAATGGCAAAACATACCAGTATTTTATGTACCACTAAGAAACAATCCCTCCAAAGGAATCGTCAAATGCATCTTGAGAGCATAATGTTAAGATGCAAAGAAAAGGTGCATCTTAGAATTGAGAGAATATAGCCGCTGATGTCAGTGGGTGTCTGTTCTGTGAGTGCATGAGTGCAAGGGGGAGAGGCAGAGCCAAGAACCAGGTGAGAGGCAGGGGCGAGGGGGTCTGAAGCCCTTCTTGATAGCATACCGAGACCACCAGGGCCAGGGAAAATATCCAAGCCTTTCCTTCCATCTGACCATGATGGGAGGAGACAGGGAAGGACCCGAGTCCTGCCCCCCCTGCCCCCCCCCCCCAGCCAAAGGCTTAAAGCTGGAAGGGATTCCTTTGGTTTAAAGGGGTGATTCTCAAACTTTGATATACATCAGAATCCTCTCGGACATCTGCCACAAATCAGATGCCCAAGGCCAGAGCCAGACTACTGAATCAGACCTTGCTTGCCCTGCATTTTTAAACTACCAAGTAATTGAGGTACATAAATAGGTCATGAACAGGTTCTCCAGGGCCAGGCCTTAGAATAGGGAGGGACAGGTTGCTGATGGGCAGGAAGCACCTTCTCCTGAGAGCCCTGGACATTCCAAGTTTGACTAGAAAGGAAATGGCCCCTGAGATAGTCCTGAGTCTCGAGATACCTCTCTGGTTCTGGAACAAAGGCTCTCTGCTCTCTGTTTTTGGCAGGAGACAGCGGAACTGAGCTCGGGTCATCTGTGTGGCTTTGGGCAGGTCACTTAGCCCTCTGCACCTCAGTTTGCTCAACTGTCAAATGGGGGCTCTCACACTGCAGCCCACCTCCCGAGGGCCACGGTTACACAGGCTAGGGGTGTGGGTGCTTTGTGAACCATAAAGGAGCCATCAGGGCAGTGGCCATCACTGCCAAAGGGCATTCATTGAGATATGGGTCTGGGCAGACAGGGCAGAGACACAGCCCTCACTGTCCTCCCTCTCACCCGTGGTCCAGAAGCCCTCTCCCGGAAATGCCTCTCTCCTCCTGCAGGGCTGCGGTCCTCTAGGCGAGGGTCTTGGGGTTCAAAGTAGTGACACTCCTGGGAGAATTGCAAACATGTGCACACAAAGGCTGATGTGCAAGTGTTGGTGGCCACATTATTTGTAATGGCCAAAGGGTGGAAATAACGTCAATGTCCGTTGAGTGATAAATGAACAAAAAGTATGGTGTATCCACACAGTGGAATGGTATTCAGTCATAAACAGGAATGAAGCGCTGATCTATGCTTCAGCGTGGAGGGACCTGGAAAATATTCTGCCAAAGCAAAAGAAGCCAGACACACAAGGCCCCATGCTGTGGGATGCCATTCACACGAAATGCCCAGAGTGGGCAAGTCCATAGAGACAGGAAGCCAAGGTTGCCGGGGGCTGGGGGGACAGTCGAGTGACTGCTAATGGGCATGGGGTTTCCCTTTGGGGTGTTGAAAATGCTCTGGAATGAAATAGTAGTGATGGTTGTTCCCCTTTGAGGTACACTAAAACCACAGAATTGTGTGCTTTAAAAGGGTAAATTTGATGGTGCATGAATTAGATATATATATATATAAAGAAATAGCAAGGTGTCCCCCCAGAGCCTAGCAAGCTGGCCGTTCCGCTCCCCAGCCGCTACTGCCTGGTACGTGACGGGGCCTGCCACGATGTGCATGCAGAGAGGGCCTTCCCCGTCCACCACCTATCTCCGCTTAGTCCCACTCTCTCCCCTAGAAGGACTGAGGGGAGCAAGGCAGAGAACACAGCGCTTTACACCCCCCCCCCCGCCATGTACCTCATCTGAACCACCCTGACAGGGAGGCATTATCATTGTCCTGGGGGGCAGACAGAAACGGAGGCCCAGAGAACGCAGGGGCCTGGCACAGGTCATGTGATGAGCTGGTGGCAGAACCCAGGTCTCCTGACTTGCAGCTCAGAGTTCTTTCCCCTGCTTTTGGAACCCAGGTGACAGGCTGGGACAGGATCGGGAACAGGGGGCCTTCCTTCCAAGGCAGGCCGCCTCAGCCTCATCCATTCGTGGGTTCATTCTCTCCTTCCCTCATCCCACAGTTTTTCCAGAGCGTCTCCTCTGTTCCACGCCTGTGCTTGGGTCAGTAGGTGCAGCAGACGGGTGGCCTCTCGTCTCACGGCCTTCACGGGGAGGCAGTGCTATCCCTTGGGCACAGGGGACAGAGAGAAGAGGGGTGCACAGAAGGATAGCAGCAGAGACCATGTCTAGGGACGTGCGGACAGTGATGACCCCATCAGCGCACATACTTGGACACCGCACATGTAAATGCACGGACAAATACTGGCACACGTGCCCAGACACAGGCCCTCACATTCAGCCGGATATTTCTCTGTATGCAAAGGCTTCTTTATTAAGGATAGTACGTCATACATTCTTGTTCAAAATTCCAAAGGGACGAGAGGGTATGTGGGTGAAAATCCCTGCCCCAGAGGTAACTAGGACAGCTAGCATTTGGTGTGTCCACATACGAACAAGTGCGTGTCCCCTTCCCCAGCACAGTCAGGGATGTTCTGCCCACGATGTCTTGCCCTTTGCTTTGTCCTGACCAGCGACTGTGGCCATCTTCCCCCGCCAGGCCAGGGAGTTCTTCCTCATACTTCCTGAGGGCTGCCCCGTGCCCCACTTGTGTGGCTGTTTTGAGAATTTGTCTCAGCGGGCCCTGTTGATGGGCACTGGAGGGGGTGCCGAGGTTTTGATAGTACCAAAACGTGATGCTTCGGTTAATAATCTCGTTCACATGTCATTCTGCACAAGCACAAGAAATTAGCAGTGAGTTGCTGGGTTCCAAGGTTAGTCACGCTTTTAGGTTGTCATAGCTATTGCCAAATCGCCTTTCCGGAGCTGTACAAAATCGCCTTCCCACTGCCTGAGAAAGAATTTGTGCGCCCGTGAGTCAGGGCGGGGAGCCGGGTGGGTTTGTAGGGGAATGTCGCCAGATGGGTTCCCAAGCAAGCACCTTTCCCACTGAGGATAACCAGAGATTTCGCCGCTCCGGTTTTATCCTCACATCTAGGAAGTCCCTACCGCGTGAGCAGGAGAGGTTTGTCCTCGTGTGGGAGGCGATGGTCCCTCCAACTGTGGTTCCTGTAGGTTTCTGCAAAGGGTCAGTGGGTGCCTGGGGGCCATACTGGGCAGGAGGGTGTTGCAGAAACCAAGTCCAGGTGAAGTCCGAGAGAATTTGGGGCCATTTGGCCTGGATGGGGCAGATTGGGCTCAGATCCTCGTCGCTGCCCTCCAGGTCCCTCCAGGCCCCTCCAGGCTGCTCTGAGGGCAGGCAGCCAGACCTCTGGGGCCCCAAAGGCAGCAGCAAGAACCCTCAGGGAGCCACCCACTGCAAGTTTGAGCTCAATGATAGGATGAACTTTCACCGTGGCAAAGCTGAGCCAGGATGGGCTGCCCTGCGGCTGGGAGGGCGATTGCAGCCGATTGCGGGGACTGGGCAGTTCTATCAGGAGACCTCCTGCCAGGGGCTCAGGGCATGGCCCAGGGGCCGCAGGGGCCTTCAGACTCTGATGGCTATGGCTCCCAGAGTGTAGGGCAGTGTGAAAGGTGGGCCTGCGGTCCTGGCAGGGTGGGGGAGGGATTGCCCCCATTCACACACACACACACACACACACACACACACACACACACAATCACTGCCCGCAGCAATAATCTTTGTGGACTGGACCATGGAGCAGCCTGTCCAGTGACGGGTGGGCTGAGAACAGCATTTGTTTGCTCAGTTCCTGCCCCCCCCACCCTCATCCCCCTTCAGCTGGGAGCTGCTAAAGACAACAGCTCTCCTCCCCTAGGACATCTGCAATAACTGGTGATCCCTACCTCCCGCTCCATGCTGCAGGCCTGCCCAGACCCTGGCAAGTTGCTTCCCAGCAGAGCCCATGGCTGGGGGAAGAAAATGGTCGAGGGGCAATGAAGGTCTGGCGTAGGGGGAGCAGGGAGCCCCAGGGAGACACTTGCATTGTATGGAAGGGTAAATAGGCCTGGAGCCAGCCTTCTGGACTGCATGTTCTTTCAACCACTCCTGCTATATCTTGCTAATGCTCACTCCCAGGGCTTAAGTGCCTATTTTTCTCATACTGACTGAGTTTTGTTAAACCCGGGCTCTTCCAGCAGGGTGGTGCCCCCGTGTGTCCCTTTGATGCCTTCAAATGATATTTGGTCCTGTAGTAATCTTGGTAATTTCAGGGTACCACAGACCCGAGCTTCTCAGCAGTCCTGGGAGGTAGGCAGGACAGGGCTAAATGTCCCCATTTTACAGATGAAGAGCCTGAGAGGGAAGCAATTTGTCCAAAGCCAGCCGTGAATCAGACGGTGTCCCTGGATGCATTCACACACTGTATCTCAGTATGCCTGAGAAGCTGAGGCTCAGAGAGGGGGAACGACTTGCCCAAGGTCACACTGATGGGTGGCACGGTCAGGGTTGGCACGCAGGTCCCGCTCTGGCTCACCGGGTTATTGTCCTTGCAGCTGGTCAAGACTGCTGAGCTGGACCCCTCCCGGAACTACCTTGCGGGCTTCCACCCCCACGGGGTCCTGGCGGCCGGAGCCTTTGTCAACCTGTGCACAGAGAGCACGGGCTTCCCTTCGCTCTTCCCCGGAATCCGTCCCCATCTGATGATGCTGAGCCTTTGGTTCCGGGCCCCTTTCTTCAGGGATTACATCATGTCGGGGGGTGAGTCTTTACACGCCTGGGTAAAGTCCAGGAGGATGAGGCTGGAGGCACGGGAAGAGGCATCTCAGGGAGGGCTGCCAACCCTTCCATACTTCTTGCAAGTGCAGGTGCAATGGGCGAAGTGGCTAAACCCAAAGAAATACTCCCCACAGCTGCATGCGCGGCACTGAGCTCAATGAGGCTGTGGGGAAAAGGGAGAGGACTTAGTTCCAGTCCTCAGGGGACTCCCAGCTGGAGGGGATGGGGTAGGGACCCGGACCTCTCGGGCCATTTTTGGTGGTCTCTCTCTTGGGTCTCATCCACCCCACAATCCCTGCCCCCTTCTCCCGTACCTGACCACCTTCCTCTCTTCCCAGGGCTGGTCCCATCGGACAAGGAGAGCGCTGCTCACATTCTGAGCAGGAAGGAAGGTGGTAATCTGCTGGCCATCATTGTGGGGGGTGCCCAGGAGGCTCTGAACGCCAGGCCCAGCTCCTCCACACTGTTGCTACGGAACCGCAAGGGCTTCGTCAGGCTCGCCCTGATGCACGGGTATCTGGGGAGAGGGCTCTCAGCTCCAGGGGAGATTGGCAGGAAGACAGCAGAGACTAGTGCAGATTGTATTTTGGCGGGGAGATTCTCAGTCTATTTACAGCAAAGATTATATTGAGAAATGTACTATGGCATGCCCAAATACCCAGAGAAGATTTCAGAAGGGAGGCGTGGTGATCAATGGCACTAGGTGGGAAGGGACATGTCTGCCCAAAGCTGGCACTGGATCTGACATCTACGGGATCTGGGAGGATGGAGTTTGGGGCATATCACAGAGCTGCTCTACTTCGAAGCATCTTTGAAGAACACAAGCTAGCTGGGGCCAGAGAGATTTTTCTACAAAACTCACAGATATTTTATACCTGGGAGGACTCTGAAGCATTCTGGCCTATCTGTCCTATTACAACTGGGAAAATGTAGCCCTGAGAGGGGCCAGGACCTGCCCAAGGTCAGAAAGCAAAGCTATGGCAGGGCTGGGAGACAACCCAGGCCTCCTACTGCTGGCCCAGGGCTCTGTCCTCTGCTCCAGTTCCTGGTTGCTCCGTCCCTGCAGGAAGCTAGCTTAGGGGCCCTCTGTGGGACCTTCCACTCGTATTCTCTCCTGTCTCTCTCCAGGGCAGCCCTGGTGCCGATCTTCTCCTTCGGGGAGAATGAGCTCTTCGACCAGGTTGAGAACTGTCCCGGGTCCTGGTTGCGCCGGATCCAGAACCGGCTGCAGAAGATCATGGGCGTCTCCCTCCCGCTCTTCCACGGCCGTGGCATCTTCCAGTACAGCTTCGGCCTCATACCCTACCGCCAGCCCATCACCACCGTGGGTGAGCTGCGAGCCGGCTTGGCCGGGGGTGAGGGGTGGGTCCTATGGGAAAGAGGCCTGGGCTGTGGGCTGCAAGGGGACATGGAGATGAGTGAGACACATCCTCGCCCTCCTGGAGCTCACCATTCTAGACCAGGAAACAGGCACTGCTTATCAAGCAGATAAGCCTAAGAGAAGGCACCGTGGGATGGGAACTGTAACAGGGGCACAAAGAACAGTAGTCACTACTGATTACAGAGTACCTGCTGTGTGGCAGGCAGGTTCCCTAACGTGCAGCAGCTCGATCTATCCCAACAACCTTCAAGATAGGGACTATTATCCCCATTTCACTGATGGCAAACTGAGGCTCCGAGAAGTTAAGTAACTTCCAAAAGATCATGCTGCCTTTGAGTAACAAGGTTGAGAATTGGATCAGGGTCTATTTGAGTTCTTATTGTGCTAGAGAAGGAGGGTTTAATTCTGACCCAGAGGCTCTAATAAGGCTTATTGGAAAAGGTGGACACAGGGAAAGGCCATTCCAAGTCAATTAGAATTGTGTGTAGAGTAGGAATTGCTACGCTTGAGTTAGAGCCTGAGGGATTTGCCTGTAAATAATGGGCATGAGCTTTAGTGCATGGACTCAGCACCGTCTTTTTCAGTTCTTGGGATCCCTCATTTGCTTTCTTCTTGGATCCCAGCTGGACCCCTCTGACGAAGCCTATAGAGGGACGTTGGTTCATCTTTATCCATCCATTTATTTGTTAGTTGAGTGCAGACTTGGTGTACCCCCTACACCATGACTTTCCCCGTGTCTTGTGGCAATATTTTCATGTGTTAATACTGCTGCTGCCACCAGAGCTATCCCAAGAGGAGAAGGCAGGGGAGCTACCGTCCCAGCCAGGCAGAACCAGAGGAAGGAGGTCACTTAGGGCTTCCCTAGAACAAAGCAGGCACTGCAGTCCAGGTGGAGAGAGAAAGAGGAAGAAGAGCTGCGTGGGCTGTGGGCCCACCTCATCCTAGATCTACAGGCACTTCTAATTGTTGCATCTTGGGCTCCCAGAACCACGTGGTCTGGAAATTAAGAGCATATCCCCAGGATTTAAAAACTGGAACAGATACTTCCTGGCTATGTGACCTTGAACAAGTTACTTTGCCTCTCTGAGCCTCATTGCCCCACCTGTCAACAGGGAGTAATAAGAGTTTCTATCCACATAGGACGGTTACGAGGATTAAAGGAGATAATGCGTGGCAAGCGCCTGGCACATTCCATGGCACATTCCATTCCATCGCAATGCCCGTGGGTGTTGTTATATCAGAATCATGGAGTTACCATAACATCTTAGAACCCATCACCCAAAATAGGGCTGAAAGGGATGGCAGTAAGAACACTTTGCTGCAGGAATGCCCATGGGGAAGGGCCCCTGCAACCCAGTGGTTCCTGCTTGGGGCCAACACCCACATTTGTGTCTTATAGTGGGGAAGCCCATTGAGGTGCAGAAGACACCGTACCCCTCGCAAGAGGAGGTGGACAAGCTGCACCAGCGCTATATTAAGGAGCTGTGCAACCTCTTCGAAGCCCACAAGCTCAAGTACAATGTCCCCGTGGACCAACACCTGGAGTTCTGCTGAGTGCCTCCCCAGAAGGTTGGCCTTAGGGAGCCCAGCGGGAGGTGCTGTGATCTGAGAAGTCTTCCGGGAGGCATCTTTTGAACATATCTTCACAGCCTTCCCAAACTTCCGCAAATCCAACCACGCCAGGACTCCAAGTGGCGAGTGGGAGCGGTCACCAGGCTCTGGCGTGGGTGGTTTGCACCCCTGCTGCGAAACCCCTGCGAGCCTCCCTCTCCTCAGCCTGTTCCTCTGGGAATGGGAGAGATGGCTGGAAGAGAGGAATTTCTGAGGTTTCGGTCCCCTGTTGTCATGTCACTCAAGAGCCAGAGTGGCAACCGTCACCAGGTTTTTCTTCCTTGACCTTGAGTAACAGCGCAAAAGAAGCCTCCTGCTCCAGCCCCGTCTCCTACAAGCTCCTTCATCCTGCTCCCTGGATGTCCCCACTCTTCCCTCCCTGCGCCGGGGGGGGGGGGTGGCCTTGAAACCTCTGCGTTCTTGCTAAGCACTTTTGCGTTTTGGGGTCCTCTGAGCTGTAGACTGGCAGCCACAGGGGCCCGAAAGGGGGAGAAGGAGAACTGTGCTCTGTCACTCCCCTGTGGCAGTGGGCAGACCTTTTTGCCCTCCTTCTGAGCCTCAGTTTCCCCGACTGACTAAGATGAACCCTGAGTCTCAGCTCTGACATTACAGAGGCGAAGAGCTCCTGGAGGCACCTCTTACTCGTCCATTGTAATTTCAGCCCCTGACCTTGGCACAGAAAGGTTGGGGGGGGGGTCCCAAAAATGTCAGTTCAACAAATGAAAGGATTCTACTTTAGCCTTCTTCCCCATTCCCCAACAGAGAGGGCTCATCAAGGCCCCCTCTTTGGACCCCCAGCCTGGCCCTGTGGCCCTGCAGCCATACCTCATCTTTCCAGAAGGTGGATGAGACAGGGCCAGAGAATGCCATGTTGGCTCATCCTTCCTGATCCGTTGGCCCCAAGCTTACCACCCCTGGTCCTGTTCTGCTGGGCAAGAAAGTTGAGAGGCTATGTTAGGACACGGGGCAGACCAACACAGAGGATGAAGACCAGATGCGAGGAGTGCATGTTTGTGTGGGTCTGCAGGGTGGGTGAGATGGGGACAGATGCCCTGACGAGAAGATTCTGGATTCCTAGGTTTGGCACATAACGTCAATAGTGAAGGGCAGGATGCCCGGCGGGGACCAAACTTGTGACTCCCCTCACCCTCCAGCAGGGAAGCAGCATCCTTTCCCTCCAGGAGCAAATCGTACCGGTAACTACAACAGGAGGGACAGCCAAGAGGTGTAAATTTGGGTTTAAATCCTGGCCCATCCCTTTTCAGTGACTCTGGGCAAGTCCTGTCATTTCCAAACCTCAATTTTGCCAGCTGAGAAGGACTACCATACCCATCTCTGGTGTTGTGAACGTAGTAAGGTAATATTTTGAACATATGAGTCACTGCACGTCATGTCTGGAATGGTGTGGAATAAGTGTAAATTAGGATTCAGGGGATAAAGGTACCCCGTGTCTCAGGAAGGTGCCTGGTATCCTAAGAGGTAGTATGCTAGGGGGCTCACAAGGGAAGCGGGAACAAAGAGCGATGGGGGTCAGAGGAGGGAGTGATGATTTCCAACCAGGAGGAAGTGGAGGAGGTGACAGGTGGGCAGGGCCATGAAGAAGGGCAAGATTTGCAAAGGAGAGAAGTACTCACCCATTATGGTTCTCTATTGCTGTCTAGCAAGCCAGGCCAAAACTGAATGGCTGAAGAAGCAAGGAGTTAATTATTCCTCCCGGTTCTGTGGGTTGGACAGGTGGCTCTTCTCAGTCTGCCCTGGGCTCCGTGCAGGTGCCTTCAGCTGGAACTGGGCCGGCTGGTGGGGCTGGCTGGGCCTCTCATTGCAGGTGGGTCTGATGGGTCTTCAAGCACTCAGCGGTGGCTGGAATTTGTAAGAACGGGAGCAAGGCTGCAAGAGCTCTTAAATACTGGGCTGAACAACTTGCAGAGTCACTTCATCCCATTCTGTTGATCAAAGCAACTCCTGGAACCCCCCCACCCCGGCGGAAGTTTCAGGGGTGAGGAATAGACTCTGCTTCTGCCTGGAAGGAGCATGGGTGTCACAATACAATGGGCTGGAGGTACATGAAGAGATTCTGTGGCCATCTTTGCAAACGATCTACGAAACAGTGGTCAATGAAAGCCTGCAGCAGGACCTCCGCCCTCCCCCCAGGTGTAGTGGAATTCGCTGTGTGACCGTGATAAGAGCTGTAGTTTATCCCCAGGGCACCAGCTCATTCTCAGCCGCTGCCCCATCCCCATCTGGCTCTCCCCAGTCCATCCTCAGTGACCAGCCAGGGTGTAGGGGCCATCGCTGGTCAGAGGACACGGACCGTGCTGGTGACCCTGCAGGGAAGGAGCAAGGAATGAGCATTTCCGCTTCCCTCTCTCCCCTCCCTCTTCTGCCAAGGTTCCCCTCTGCCTGAGCCCAGTCGCAAGCGGGAAGGCACAAGGGCCTGTGGCTGCCATGCACACAGGTAGGCCTCCAGTAACAAGCAGGGTGGAGACAGGTGGACAGTGCATCTGCAGGGGTCAGTGGAAGAGAGATGTCCACCTTCAAGTCCAAGTTTCTTAGCCTGCCTTTTGCCACTCTTCCATCATCTGGCCCAGTTTTCTCCATCCTCATTTGTCCCCCTCCCTTAACCATGGGCTCCCATGATACCAAACCATTTGCCGTTCCTTCTATGAGATTTGCTCTTTCTCCCCTCTAGGCTTTGCCCACGCGGTTCCCTCTGCCTGGAATGGCATCTCCCCCTCCCCACCTCCCCCTTTGTCTGGAAAATTCCTATTCATCCTTCAATACTGGTTTCCTCTATGCAAGAAAGCCTTCCCTAACGTCCCTGGTTGAGGTAGGGGTTCCACGGGGTGCCCCAGACTTCCCTTTCCTCTGCCATGGCAGTCAGCACTGGGATGGCTGCTGGGTGGTCACAATCCTGTGCAGGATACTTCTGCCTCCAGTGATCTCCCTCTAGCCTACCCACATGTAGCACCTGCCTCCACTGTCCAGACAAAACCCAACACCCTAAAATAGTCTCCAACGCCCCAGGATAATGCCCAAACTCCTCCTCAGCCTCCAGAGCCTTCCTCATCTGCTCCTAGACCTCACCAGCCTCCCCCGCTGGATCTCCTCCCCTGCACCCCATCACCCTGGCACCCCTCGCTGCTTGCGGAATGCACGCTGCTCTTGCATCACAGTTCCAGGGCATGCTGTTCCCTTTCCTTGAAACATGCTTCCTTCCAGACCTGGGTGACTTCGCTCATCCCCAAAGGGCACCTCCTTTGTCGTCCATCAGCACGCCCCACCCACCCTCTTACTCTGCCTCCCACCTGACTGCCCTGAACCAGAGTTAGTTACCCTCATTTGGGGCTAGTTTTGGGGGTGAAAGGGTCATTAATGGGTGAGTGGACTTCTTTGTCTCCCTTTCGACTGGGACAGCCCTGAGGGCCAAGACCACATCCTGGTCGCCCTCAGCCCCACCCAGCACCCAGCACAGGACCTAGGGCGCCTCAGCACCCCACTGGATGAGAACTGGTTGCATAAATGAATCCTCACATGGCACTTCCTCTTGGTTCAGCACGCTAGGCCTGGGGCAGGGATGAGGCCGAGAAGACCCATGCCTTGCCTTTGGAGGTCATTAAATCAGTTCTCTATTGCTATGTGACAGAAACTCCAAAACTTAGCTGCTTTAAACCACAAACATTATTTATTGTCTCAAAGTTTCTGAGGTCGGGAATCTGGGAGTGGCTTCCCTAAGGGGTTCTGGCTGAGGTGTCTCATGAGGTTGCAGCCACACTGTTGGCCTGGCCTGCAGTCGCGGAAGACTTGAGTCGGGCTGGAGGATCCACTCCCAAGCTCACCCATGTGGCTGTTGGTGGGAGGCTCTGTGCTCTGTGCAGGCCTCTCCATATGGCTGCCAAGGGCATGGCTTCTCCCAGAGCAAGTAAAGAGAGAGAGGGACCACACTACCTTTTATGACCTAGACTCTGTATCACACACTATCAATTCTACCTTATCGTATTGGTGAGATGTGAATTCACTAAGTCCCGTCACACTCCTTACGAGGGTGTGAATCCCAGGATGTGAGGCCCCCGGGGGCCAGCTTGGAGGCTAGCTACCACAGTGATGGTGGATGAGCCCTCCGAGACCAGACTGGGCCACACCATGCTGTGTACTGCTGCGCAAGGTAGCTTGCCAGGGCTGGCCATAGAGAGGGTCCCCAAATGGGTGGGGCACAGCATGAGCAGAGATCGGGGGAGGGAATTCTGTCCGTGACCCCCTGGCCTGGCCTGGGATGGAGGAGGAGGTGACCATGAGATTTGAGGGGGTCCGGATGGGGGAAGGGAGTGGTGAGAGACTTGGGGGGCCGGAGGGCAGAGAATTCTTCCCTTTGCATGGTGACCCTGGCGGCCTCCCATGGAAGACCACGGCAGCACAAGAAAGGAAGCTAGGGCCTGATCTCAGAGGAGGGCTGCCCCAGAGAGTTGCCCGGTCGGGAACAGCCACACTGGACTTTGAGCAAAACATGTCCTTTTCCTGAGAGATTGCAGGTGTTTGTCTAGTGGTTGGCCTCCCCAGCTAACACAGTGTACCAGAACCTCACATATAAGGGGTCAGTTATTAACTTAGTACCTCCTGCCTGACACTCCTCAGGGCCCCCGAGCCCGCCTCGGGGGCCTCCGCATGGTGCAGGAGAACAGCTCCCCGACGCCAGCACACACACACACAGATAGATGCAGACAGAGGACGACAAGATTTGTCAGGCGTGGTAGCAAGGGTCAGAGGCCCTTAAGGGTGGGGTGCGCTGGAGTCTTCCAGAAATCATGCTGCCCTTTGGCCTGGGGAGAAGTTCTCAAATGGCATTACCCCCAGGGAACAAAGGGCCCAGTGGGGCCCAGCCTATGTGACACGGCTTTCTGGTGCCGGGTGGGACAGGGGTCAGCCAGCACAGCACCGCCAGCAGCCACGTGGCACGGGCCACGCGTTGGCCTCAGAAGGGAGCTGACTGTGCTTGGTGAGGGTACAGGAGGAGGCTAACACAGGGAGGGTGGAAGCTGCTGAGTGAGCAAAGAAAGGCAGGGAGCGGACACGGCGGGCAGGGCACAGGCTCGGGATGGCCACTGTTGTGATGGGGCGGGCAAAAGTGAGGTTGAGGGAACAGGAGGCTGGAAGGCCAGGCCTTTGTTCAGCAAACTTTGAGCGAGAGTGGTGACCAATGCAGCCAGGGTCCCTGACTTTGCCTTGCCTACTGTCTGGGGCAACTCCTATGTCCAGTCAGCGCGTCAGGAATTTCTCCCTGAGGTAGGGGGGAGCCCCGGAAGGTCCTTGAGCTGGAGTGGGCCAGGGACAGGACCAGATGGGCAGTGGATGCCTTGGGCTGAACTGGGCATCTGTCTTAATGACCCCACGGAAGGGCAGAGCCAGCACCGAGCTGCTTACTGAGCACGGAATCCATGCCAGGCTCCGGGTGGGACGCTCTACAGGCGTTATCTCAATAACACCGGCAGCGACGCCCACTCTTTGTAATCAATGAGGTTCCTGTGTCAGAGAAGGGTAAGGACTTTCTGGAATCCTGGGCTCGATAGGAAGGCTGACTGCCCAGACAGCTCTTCTGTCCTGCTCCCACTCTGCCTAGTTCCAGCCTCCAACTGGGCAGAAGGGCACAATGGAAGTGGCCGGGCCTGAGAACCCTCGAGGTGTGCCTAGCCCCCCACCCACCTGCTTGGCCCCGCCGCATACCTCCCTGCACTGCACGCCATCCCCACCCTTCCCCCTGCGCCACATGCCTCCCTGAGGCTTGGTTTCATCACCTGTAAATGCTTCACCCATAAGCGAGTATTCAATAAATGCCAGTTCTTCCTCACTCCTCCCCTTTGAAAATGCTAGGAAATGGATTTTGAAAGACCTGGGAGAGTTTGTGGATAACACACAAGGTTTGGGCTTTTCTTAGACTCTAACTCACCCCTCACTCCTTGCTAGAAAACCTTTAACCAGTGCAAGGGGTGCCCTGTACACCCAGTTATATCTTTAGTGAGGAAATGGGTGGAACCAGATGGGCAGGAAGACTCTTCCTAGTAGCCCCTTTTAAAGGGCCCCTGAAAAGAAAAAAAAACAGCAGGAAACCCTGGCCCTATCAATACAATGCCAATGATAGGATCAAAAGGGGCCTCCCCCTTTAAGAAAGGCAAAAACTGTCAGAAGCTGGCATTTGGGTGTGCCCTAGACCAATGCTTCTCAAAACGTCTGTGGTGTAGGACCAGATTCTTGTGTGTGTGTTGTGGGGACGGTTCCCTAATCCATCTTGGACCTATTCATTTGTAAAATACAATGTAAATTACCAGAAAAATGAAATATGAAAACAAAGACAAACATAGTACAAGTCCAAGTTTTTATTCTTACTTTCAACAGACATAAAATTCCTCTGTCACCTTGCTCTAAAGTTTCTGAGCAGGTACTCTCAAATTCTGTACCTAACTTGGTCAGGAACCAGGAACAAGCGGTGAATGGACACACTCCGGCCCTCAGACCACATAGAGCCGCACTGCCTTAGAGCGCACTGAGGGGCTAGTTACTGGTATTGTCAGATTGCTGTGGTTAAGCTACACAAAGCTACTTGGTGAACTGCAAAGTGCTCTACAAGATTGGTGGGGCCGTGGTCTTAGCCACTTCTACGTGGCTGAGCGGGCTCTGGGAAAGGAAGGACTTGCCTGAAGGCACAGAGCTAGAAAGATTCCAACGGGGGACCACTCTTCACTCTCTTGCAATGTTCTTTCCACTCTGCCTGGTGCAGTGGATCCTGGAAAGCATCACCCAGATGCATCTTCAAGGAAGGACACCTTGCGCTGGGTGCGGAGAGCTGCTTCTTCCAGGGCACTGAGCCAATGACTGATCCAGATGGGGCAGAAAGGCTTGACCACTTCAGCCCAGATCAGGACAGCTCCGATGGGTCATTTCTGTTCAGCTTCTCCCTCTGCCCTATTCGGCTGCCTTCCCTCCCTTCTGTAGGTTTTGACCCCAAGGGTTCTCCCTAATAAACATCCCACAGGCTAAACGTGCTTTCAAAATCCACTTCCTGGAGAACCTAACCTGTGACATCATGCATATATGAAGAGTTAAATCTCAATATGAGGCTCAGAGAGATTAACTAACCTGTCAAAAGTCACACAGTTTTTAAGTGGTTTTTAGGTTTTTGGAGTCAGGATTTAAACTCAGATCGGAGGGCAAAGCCAGCGCTCTTTGCCTTAGGAGTGAGACCTCTTGTCTACCAGCTTGGGAAACAAAGGAAAGGATCAGAAAAATTGTATTTAAGTTGTGAAACTTAAAGTAACTCTATTCAAAATGGCACACCACTTTGGAAGACATTTTGGCATTTCTTAAATAAAGTTGAATAAAGGCTTACTATACAGCACAACAATCATGCTCCTAGCTATTTACCCAACTGATTTGAAAATAAGTCCACACAAAACCTGCACATCAATGTTTACAGCAGCTTTCTTCATAATCAGCAAAAACTGGAAGCAACCAAGATATCCTTCAGAAGGTGAATAGATAAACACACCGTGGTACCTTCAGGGCTGTGGAATACTACTCTGAAATAAAGCATGAGCTATTAATTCACGCAACAACATGGATGAATCTAAGATGCGTTTTGTTAAGTGAAAGAAGCTAGAGTAAAAAGCCTATTTGATTCCATTCATATGATATTCTGGAAAATGATAATATAGAGGAATGGAAAGCTGATCGGCAGTTGCCAGGGATTTAGAAAGGGCGAGCCTCTGACTAAGAGAAGCATAGGGAATTCTTTGGGTTGGTGGAATGAATCTGGATGGTATTGGACTGGCATATAAATGACACTATGCATTTGTCAAGACCTACAAAGAGTGAACCCTAATGTATAGAAATTAAATTTTAAAAAACCAACCAAGAAGCCTGGGGATTCCAAGATGGAATGTGGGCTTGTGACAAAAGAACCTTAAAACTGTATTACAAACGTATGAGAAAACCTCACTGTGGCGGGGTGGGGTGGGGTGGGGAAGAACTGCCCTAGGGAACTTTGGGAAATAGCGTTTTGATTGGAAACTCTAAGACTGGCATTAAAATAAATTGTAGATAAATACCACACTGTAGTTAAATGTGAATTTCTCATGGGGGTGTGCGCTAACAACTTGGAAATGGCTGTGCTGTATCTGAAAGTGTACAAATAGGTAAGCAGATGATTTTCTCACTGTTGGAGAGGGCGGTTACAGATGAGCGAGGGAGGAAGGCTAGAACGAACAGCAGGAGACATCAGTATGAATTGATGTTTAGTTTGATATAGAGACAGATGGGTAGATACAGAAATCATGGTAAGTATGTATGTATGCATGGGTTAGCTTACATACGTGTATTTCCTAGGTCCTAGTTCTGCCTTCCAAAAGAGCCTAGAAGTTCACCCCAGTAGCATTCTTGGGCAGGGAAAATAGAGCGTGAAGCATCTTAGAGTGCCAGAAAGTAAAGAAGTATTCAAGAAACAAAATGATGGGAGCATCTTAAAGGAATGCAGGAGCCAAACTGAAAAAGCTCCCAAGGGCCATGTCTGGAACAATTTGAGCAACAAAACAAATAACAGTATTTGGATTATAATCCGAAGTATAAAACATACATCCATGAGTACATACTGATATAAATAAATGATTGAAAAATAAAAATAAGTGGGGGAGAAAAGTGAAATTTCTCTTACAGAAGAATCACAAATAATGAATGGAGATAGTCTGCCCTCAAGGAGGGGGAGCGTAACCCTTCCCACTTGAATTGGGGTAAGGCTAGTGGCTTGCTTCCAAGAGTAGTGTGTGGGAAGAGTTGGGGGCAGGAGAGGGAAGGTGAGTACCTTTACCATATCACATCAGCCAGGTGATCAGGGTCAACATCAGCAATAAGTCATGCGGCAGTATGTGCCTTTGATACGATGTGATCAGAATGGAACCTCACTTCTGTTGTTTTCCTCCCCAAACCCTATAACCCCAACTGACTAGGAGGAAAACATCAGGTATATCCAAACGGAGTGACCTTCTACAGGATAACCTGGCTAGTACTCCTCCAAAGTGAGTCATCAAAAAAGCCAGGAAAGTTTGAGAAACTGTCACCGGTCAGAGGAAGCTAAGAACACATGACAACTACATGTACTGTGGTATCTTGGATGGGACCCCAAAACAGATAAAGATCATTAGGAAAAACCAGTGAAATTTATTTTTTTTTAAGATTTTTTAATTTATTTGACAGAGAGAGACACAGCAGAGAGAGGGAACACAAGCAGGGGGAGTGGGAGAGGGAGAAGCAGGCTTCCCGCGGAGCAGAGAGCCCGATGTGGGGCTCGATCCCAGGACCCTGGGATCATGACCTGAGCCGAAGGCAGATGCTTAACCAACTGAGCCACCCAGGCGCCCCCAAACCAGTGAAAATTAAATAAAGTTTTGGATTTTAACTAAAACTAATGTTGGCTCTTTAGTTGTGACAAATGTACCACAGTAAAGTAAGATGCTAACAGTCGCAGAACCCGGGGGAGGGGTACATAAGTTACTCTCTACACTGTCTTTGCAACTCTTCTGTAAATCTAAAATTATTCTAAGATTTAAAAGTTTATTTTAATTTAAATAATTAATTTGGAAAAATCTCTGCAGAATGCCTTATTAGTTTTCTGAGGCTGCTATAACAAATCACCACAAACTTGGTCACTTGAGACAACAGAAATGTACTCTCTCACATTTCTGGAAGCCGGACATCTGAAATCAGCTGCACTGGTGTCAGTTTCAGAAGGGGTTCATAAGGCTGTGCTCCCTCTGGAAGAATCTGTTTCCTTGTCTTTTCCAGCTTCTAGAACTGTATAAATTCCTTAGCTCCTGGGCTCTTCTTCCATCTTCCTCTGTTCATTATCATATCACCTTCTGCCTCTATATCTCTGCGTCTTTCTTATAAGGATACATGTGATTATATTTAGGGCCCCTCCAGATAATTGAGGATAATCTTCTCATCTCAGGATCCATAATTTAATCACACCTGCAAAGACCCTTTTTTTTTTTTTTCCATGTAAGGTAATATTCACAGGTTCTTAGGGACTAAGACCAGGATATCTTTCAGGGGGCCAAATTTTAGCCTATTTGAGATGCCAAGCAAATTATGGATTCTCTCCAAACCTCAGGTTCCTCATCCAGAAGTGATGTGTAAATGTATGTAAACGAGGAGGCCTGATCTGCCACCAGACTGCTCCCTGCAGGAGGCAGGAGCCCGAAGGGTGTGCTGTCCCAGGCAGAGGAGTCCTGATATTACTCCTTCCCCCTGGACCCCGCCCGCCCAATCAGTGGGGTCCATGGCCAGGACGTGGTGGTATAGGGAAAGGAAACCCAGCTGGGAATCCTAACACTTGGGTCCAAATCTCAACTGTCTGCAACTTGCAGTGTGACCTCACACGTTACTTTCCGTATTTAGGATATAGTGCGACTCCATGAAACACGTGGACCTTAGTCCTGCCCTGGGAGAGGCCTGGAGAGGGACATCGCTCCCTCCTGCCCTGAGATGTTATGATTACAGATGTTTATACTGCCTATTGGCTGAAGGATCTCGGTCCCTCCCAGTAACAAGGGTACCTTTTAACTGGAAGCAATAGCCCCCTCTCATAGGAGCAGCTTTCATGGGGAGGTTGAGGCTCTGTGATTTGTTGGGTGGAGCAGGGGACAGAGGAGACTCCTTCGTTTCTCACTTGCTTCTACCCGGGCCCCATGAGTCTAGACCAGGGGTCAACAAACTGCAGCCTGTGTTTAAATAACCCATGAGCTGAGAGTGATTTTTACCGATGAACATTGCAATCAATTTGATGGTAAGAAACACTGACTTTGAGCCCCACCTAAGTGAAATGTCATCCTCCAAAAAAAATTCCATTCTTCTCATTAGTAGACCTGCATTACAAAAAAACAAAAAAACAAACAAACAAAAAAACCAAAAAAAACTGTGCTCTATTATTTACTTTGAATTTTGTCAGTCAAACTTTTGTGGAAATTTGTTTCCTCTCTTGTTTCCTCTCTTTGTCTCCTACATAATTTCCTTGATTTTCCTCTTGACCTGCAAAGCTTCTACCAGCCCCCACTCCATCAGTTGCCCTGTGTTCCATCTCAGATCTGTCTTAAGCCGTTCCCAGATTCACCTTGCCCTTTGGAGTCTGAAAGATCTTCATAGAGTAGCTCTGACACAATCATTGCCCCTGGCTAAAATTTCCCCATGGCTTCTCCTTGCCCTCTGGCTGCCTGGCTCGTAGCAGGAGCAAGGCTCCTGCCTTCCTTCTGACCTACTCATACCCTCCTCCAGCCTTGCTGAACGTCTCCCTAGGGGCACCTTGCTTCCCCC